GAGGGGAGGGGGGGTATTTTTTCCTTCTACTAAAAAAAGTTGTTGTTGTTTTAATTACCTGAAGTACAGAGATGTTAAGGTAAAACTCTTTCCTTTTCTCTGGTTCTAAACTTCTGAGAAACAGGGTGGACTGTGTGTGGAATATCTCTCCAGTCACAATATAGATGCAAACCTGTGTGCATGCACACAATGCACCTATAGATTGTACTGATAGGGATCCAGTCACAGTATACATATCGTTAGGCCTCCCCTCTGGGCCTCAGTTTCCATGTCTGTGCAATGTCGGTGACCTGGTGATCCCCGATGAGACAGCCAGCGCTCAGGGGACCTCAATATCCTGGATGCCCCAGCTGGGAGTTAGTTGGTCGCCAGCTGGACAGGAGGGGCCGGCCTGTGCAGCTCCATTGGGCTCTTAACGTGAGCTGAGATCTGGCTGCATGAAGCTTACACTTCCAGGCCCTGAACATAAGTCCTCCCGGGCCTTCCAGGGGCCCTGGCATCAGGGGTCCAGGGCTTGGGAAGAAGGGAGGAAGGTGTGAGTCTGCCCTTGGCTTTTCCTCACAGGCAGTGGGAAGATCAGAGGCCTCTTGGGGTCAGGCAGCCTCAGGTCTGAATCCTGGACCCACTACCTCGTCTGTGTGACCTTGGGCAAGTCCTTAATCACGTGAGCATCAGTTTCCCCACCTGGGAACAGGTACAACCGTAGCCTTGGGCCTCACTGGGCTATGTTGGACCTGTGCATGAACTGTACCAGGCCTGGTGTGGGAGACGCTGGGAACCGCAGCTCCCTCTCCTGGGCATGCGGCCTTCCCAGGGGCCACGGGGACCTTGTTCTGAGGTCGAGAGGGCGGGTGATCAGTCCATCTGTCTCAGGCCTGAGAGTGTGGAGGGGCCCTGGCCTGATGGAGGAAAACAAGTGGAGGACGGTGGGCGGGAGGTACGGGCAGGGTGGGGGGACTGGCTGCAGGGCTGGCCAGCAGCTCCACGCAATCTGTCTGCTATGCAGTCCCAGGCCTGGCCTGTATTTATTTATGCTGAGCGTGTATTTATATCAGCCCCTTTCTCATTAATAGGGCAGGAAATGGCTGGAATTGTTACATACCTGGCGGCCCAGGGGTCCCGCTCGGCCAAGACACACACATGGCCCTGGATGCCCAGCCGCGATTGTGAGGGACCCTCCTCCTCAGCCCCAGGCCTAAGTCCCTGGCCTTTCATTGACCCCCCCCCCCCCCCCCCCCCCGCCTTT